ATCGAACCGAACAACGAGTAGCTCGTCGAACGTTTGGTTTGCTTGCAGCCCTAGTGGGAAGGGAACCCGGTGGCGCCTAAGGTGAGGCATGTAAGCCATTTACATGCTCTCATAGCATGGAGGGGACATTTCTAAGTATGGATAAGAGCTTTGGTAGCATGGTAAGAGAAACAACTGTGTATTTCAAACAGGTACCTCAAAGACCCATACACGCCTTTCTCTGGCATGGTGGGATCGAAGAATTACGATTGCAGTGTCATCTGACACCAATCATACACCCTTTTCTCTAACATAGTGTGAGGCCCAGATTCCTATTGTTTCTCCTAAACAGGAGAGACGCCAAGAGAATGTCAGATTTTTCAGTGAAACAGAGGACTTTAAGTAAACGATGAATTGAACTTGGGCTAATTGAATGAAATGGGACACAATTTAAAATAAAATGTGTAATTTGACAAAATTATAAAATATAAACAAGGATTAAGTGGAAGATGCAATTACGTGCTTATAACTAATGACATAAAATTTTTTAGTGAAGATTAAGAAGTGATTATCTCAATTGGAATGAAGATATTAATGAATAATGGTATCAAGCTCATCATACATATTTCAATCCATCTTTGAGAACAAAGAATTTGTGAGTACATCTTGTTTTCAAGCAACAAGAAGGTTGTACGAGATATGACTTCACTACAAAGCCATGATAAGGAACCAACTAGATCATGATAAGTGACTTGTAATGTTAGACATGATTCATCCCCAAGCAACAATCAACAAGAACTGTAAGAAGTGTGGCAACATGCTTACAAACAACTACACTAAAATCATGAAGAACTTGTAATAAACAAGTCTTTAAACATGAACTTGCAAATCAACATGCTAAACTCTTACAAGAACAAATCACTCATAAGTGATAATGAGATTCCATGTAAATAGGTGATTTGGAATAATTATGATGGCCACAAGGACATGAATGCAATAACAATCAATATCAATATACAAGCACGATGATGAATGACTTGTGGTATTCATCATAACTCACAAATAAGCAATGAAGCTATAAAGTGAGTAATCGTGAAGGGATGCAATGTTATCTATTTCATCAACAATGATTCAGTGCCTAGAAAATACAACTGCGAATGAAGCTTGCAATGACTCACCGATAATAAGGAATGAAATCTATGAATTGAACCATAGAACACTGGACCCAGCATGCAATTTGCAAATGAAAAAATGAAGTTGAGATGTAAGCATACAAGTGGGAATTTGTGATAAACTAACAAAGGTTATGTGACATAACTTGCTTATAAGCAATGCTTAATTAAGGTTGTGGAGAAAAGATAATTCATGTGAAGGTGAAAGACTTGTAACATGCCACATAACCCATATACAACTAATAATCAACAAGCCACATAAAACTCCTATTGTTCGTATTAGTCAACTTGTGGACCTATGAAAAGAGCTTGAAAGGCACCAATAGAGGAGAGCCCCTAAAGAATGTATTAATTCGTTCGAAAGGCTGTTAATAAATGCAATAACACTCCCTACAACCATACACTAAGAAGATTGCAATGAGTGCCATGGATTCCCTACAAATATAAATGGAAAAAATGCAATGATACTGAACATCTAGTACCAATATACAACAAACTGATAATGTAGATGTATTTAAAAAGTTTGAAGTAGGTTCCGCCTTCTTACAATCAATGTCACTTGATTGTAAGTAAATACACCAGCTCTCTACAAGCAAAAACAGATAATACGGAGCATACTGCAAATAACTATGGGGTTGTAGAAGACCCATCATACACACTATATGCTACTTGCAGGCAAATGCAAAGGAACTATAACATATGCAAGACCCTACAATCCCTCGTACGAGAACTATCATGCATCCAAAAACTCCACCCAAATGTACACCACAATATGTACACACAAACACAGAAGTGCATATGCGCACGTATTAACATGTATACATGTAAAATTATAAACCCGCATGGGCCCCAGCAAGCATGTTATGGACACACATGTGATGTCTAGAGATGCTACGCGTGTTAGATAATAAACCTAAGTTTGAGCTTGATCCTTCTATGTAGATAAATAGGAGTCAACATGGCTCGAACCATCAAATTATCGGCAGGGATATTTGTTTTATATGTTCATATTAGGACTTCAAGGGATATAATAAGAGAAATTCATTAACAAGAGCATACAACCAACTCAAAATCCAATCCTCTGTCAGTAGGTTGATAGAGTCAACAAGGTTCAATTCACAAATGCAAATACCCATAAATATCCTGATGATGGTCGTGTTGAATGTATATCTCAATCTAAGGGGTTAATTTTGAATGTCTCCCAAAAACACATAATATTTAACTCCAAAAATTCTAAAAATTTAAACTATTTAAAATTTAAATCAATCATCAAATACTCAAAGCAATATCCATCCACCCTCCATAATATTTTGTCGAGGTGGATAAATTTGAAAATCACGTCAGTTCACAAAGCGCTAATGTATGGTAAAGAATATCACTAAGAATTATTCTCAATTTATCTCCTGCCAGTAAGGATATGGCATGTGTCTTCTAACTGGCAGTTTTGTCGTGAAATGGCATCATAGGTAAATGGTTATGACCGAGACCCTCTAAACTGGGTGGTTTGCCACCAAATGGTACCACTAAATTACGGTCATAGCCAGAGCCCGTATACTCCCCAATGGCACTAAATCCTTGAGATATGAATTAATAAGATATAATAGATAGGGCATAAAGCCATCTGTTAGCTAAAGTGGATTCAAAATTATTCCCTTAGAAAAACATCCATCTAGATCTACAAGGTACCCTTGGATGACATAACCCATGGCTACCGACAATGATCCTTCTTTTAAGTTGGGTCGACTACCACCTATGATTAAGCAAACCAAGGACCATGATGGTCCGGGATGACAGAATAATGGGATCATATTCATGCCTATCATCCATTCCCCCACCATCTATTAAGTGCAAGATGGTGAAATTTATAATTATAAATATAAAACATTCAAATACCTAAACCCATGATGCTATTATATGCCAGATAAAACATCTCTACATATTTAATTGATGACTAGCCTTAATCGAAAGTTCTCTCTCGTTATCAGGAGGGGTAATTAACTATAGGGGATTGCGCCTATAGAAAACCAGAACTCATATCATAAAGTCCTAACAAATGAGGAAGAAATATTTGGGTAGTATCTTAACTACAAACTTAATCTACCTTCTGAAAATTTACCCCGAAACCTAACTCGTTCAAACTCTCCCAAAGGTAGGGGAGTACAAGGTGCAAATTTTTGGATCCCACAAACTCCACACTATGTTATGATAGAATCCAATAATTTTTTTTTATATTGAGTACATAAATGGGTTCAGGTGTCGCAATGCTTGACATGGTGGTACTACAATAGTATAAGATGAATTAGTGCCTTAGTGTTATTGGGCTTGCTACGTTGCAGCGCTGCACAAACTCAACATGTTTATTGACTGAACCGGTGCGTCATTTTGATGAATCAGCATGGCTCTATCTTTCTTCAACCACTTCGTCAGGGAGCTGAAATATTTATCATTTTTCTTGAGGCTCCAGTTTTGCAATTTCCTGATATGGCGCCAAGGCGTGGACACTGCGGTTTTGTTAGTTGGAGTGTTGTGGTTCTGGTTCAACACTTGTGAATTTTGATCCTCTTCTTGAATATTTCCTGCACAACATTAACTAAAACACCACATTTTTAGTGATAATAAAATAATACAAAATTTGCACTTAACATTATTATGGGTTATTTTCATGCCATTTGAGTTATAGTGTAAGTTATGAGTTATATTGGACATATGAGTCAATTTTGTGCTTGAACTAATGGAGTGATACTCATAGACTATCCCTCTCTTATTGTCCTCCCTATTTTTACCAGACTTTTAATTTTCATATTAGTACTTGACTTCCACATCATCATCATTGACCAATTATATAACATTTGATTATTTCCTCACCCATCTCTCCTTTTAAGAGATATCACCTCTCTAATAAATCAATATGCCTTTATTAATCCTTACAACTACTAAGTATTCATGTTTCTTTGTAATACATATGTTAAACCCTCAAGCGTTACGAACCCGTAGTCTCAAGAATAGTCTTTGAAACAACCTTAGCGTTAAGATAACAAGTGACATAATTACTAATATTCATTTATGATCATCAAATTCATTTGTAAAACTTGATGCATCACCATAATAAAAATTCTAATAAACAAAGTCAACATAAGTATCATATTTTTCAAAAGGTGGAGATGACAAATTCCTTAACTTATAATTGAATATGTTTCAAACCTCTTCAAATTTAAGAAATTGATGTTTAATATGATATAGATTAATAGTAAATTGAATTAAGAATCAAATGGAAGAAACAATTATTTGCATAACTCTGTATTGATTAAATTCATATTCTTTATATGACACTACATTAGAACATAAATATTGATAGTGATCAAATAAATTTAATATGAATATGTTCTTAAAATGATTTATAATATCTATAAGACTAATAATTAGAGCTGTAAATAAATCGAGCAAAATGTTGCTCAAGCTTGAGCTTGTTGGCTAAAACACCATCTGAGATTAACCTTGATTCAAGTATTTGTAAGTGTGCAAGTTAAATTCATTTAAAATTATGATTGTTTGAGCTTGATTTTAGCTTGTCGAACATGTTGATTCATTTGTAACTAAATAAGTGATGAAAAAATGGTAGCCACAATTGTAATATGCTTTATTTTAACCATTAGAGTTACATAAATGATAGTTATGTAATTTCACAATAATGTTGATACCACTAAACATTATAAAGAAGGATATAATGTTCATTCATTCATGATAGCACATTTTGGTACCAAGATGTTGGCTTCATCCAATTAGATGAAAAAAGATATAATTGAGAAAATGAGAGGAAACCCAATCGATAAGGGAGACAATGAATGGTAATGAATGCTATTAGGCTTTTACTATGAAGGTAAAGAGTCCAATTCAGAGGTCAGAAAATCAGTAATAATTTGCCTATTAACATCCCTTAAGCAGCTGGTTAAAACTACAGCAGCTTATATACCTGGATAATTTTCCCTGCATAGCAAACAATCAGAACTGCAAATCCCAAAAAATGTATAGTTCCTAATCTAAGATCAACTCTTTCCTATCCATCCATATCGCCTACACTGCGTTGTATGGGCTTGACACATGATCTCCATCTAAGACTTCTTTTGGGACAGCTTTTTTACTACTTTCTAAAGCAGCTTTCTACAACAAAATAAAAAATTCTGCTAAACATTTGCTTTAAGAAGCAGTAAGAAAGCAGTCTCAAACGAAGCCTAATTTGATAACTCCTACTTACCATGGAAGCTCCTCACCTGATTTCTGACCACCATTGCAACTATTTCTTCTCAGTGATGCTAATCTTTGCTCTCTTGCACATAAATGCTATACGTTACGTAAGCTGAGCAATCTCAAGCAGAATCTTGCCAAGCGACTGTGGCTTCGAGAAGAAAGGGCAGTGATCGCTGCCTTTGATCTTGAACACCTTATGTGGTGGATTCTCTCGCAGCATCTTCTCCTGGACGTCCGGTGAAAGCATGTGGTCATCCAGCGTCTGTACGAAGTATCGTCGGACAGAACCGTAGTTGTCTTTGGTGAGGGAGAGCCTCTCCAAGATCGGTGCGATTGGAATGGGTCTCATGGAAACCAACGCCAAAGCAATGTCCTGCCATCACATTTCACGTCTTCATTAGAATTTTCTTTCATCAATACGTGCAAGATATCATCGAGGCCATTTGAATGTCAGTACATTTTAAATTGTAAGTATCATATCATGTAATTAGAGCCGTTCACTATAATAAAAGTTTTGATTCATTTGATTCATGAACAAACGATCTTACAAATTTTTAAATCATGGAAGACTCTAATTTTAAGTGTTAAATAGGATTGATAGTATTAAGAATATGCATGAAGGTCAGAATATCAATATGATTGGGTGAAAAATGATTATTCTCCTTCTGAGAGAAAAATCCATCTCATTTATAGACGTGGGTTTAAGGAAGAAAGAGTAGATCAAAGGCTGGGTTCACTCAACGAAAAATGATGCTTGAACTCTGCCTTTTTGGATAGGATTATATTCTTCGTGAGGTAGATTAATTTTTAATTAATTAAATATTTCATGATACTTATATTGGAGTTTATTTAGATTTGGAGTCTCAACTTTCTATGAGTGCGAGCCCTCATAGTTAATCACCCCTCCCACTTATGGGAGAGCACTCTCAATTAAGGATGGTTACTTTGATATAATTTTAAATTTTAGCTTAGTACTCTAAGATTTGATTGGATTAATGGGAGATATTTGTGAGGGATAGAGGTAGCCCGATCAAGATCCTGTGGTTTCATCATCCCAGAAATATCAACAATCTCAATCTATCAATATTAACAAACCATAGGCCGTAACGTCCAAGGAATCTAATTAGCAACCATAGGTAGCATCCTCTCAAGAATCTCATAGAAGTTGACCAAAATATGATCTGAGTTAAGGCTTCTATTCATTGGAATGTTAGAAGCTGATTTGGGTTGGATTTATGTTCATTGGAGGCCTGAGTGTTTTAATTCGACTGGGGCTTACTGCTCTATTTAAGAGTTGCCTAATAGTTTTGATTGAAGTGGGCCTAATATCCCTTGGAATGTTTGTATTTAATTTATTTGGGGCTTATGTCCATTGGAGCACCCAAAAGGTTTTGAAAGGGATTTAGAAGTTTTATAAGAACGACGGATTTTATTGAGATGGGGCTTACATCCAATTGAAGGCCTATTTTTTGAATGACTTATTTTGCATGGTTATTCTATGCTTCAATAGGAATAACTTTACTAGGCATTGGATGGTTATAACTAATTGACCTAAATCTTAAGTAGCTCGTGCAAGTATTTATTGCCCTACATCTTTGGATGATTTTAAATTACAATCTGATTATCTTACATTTTGTGCAAAGCAAGCGTTTGATGATGCGCTTGTGTGGTTAACTGACCACCTCGCACAATGATATAGCTAGTGTAAGCTACACAAGTATCTATCTAAGTAATAAAGTGAATGAAAAGAATAGAACACATGAGGAAACATTGTATCCTACGAATGTTTCTAGTACTGTCTACTCAAGTAGCACGATTATCCTGCTGAATATAATTGAATGTGAGGTTCTACAATATACTAAAAAATGTTAAAAAGAGTACTAGGAAAAAAAATGTCTTGGACTCATGATAATGAATGTTGCAATATTTCCAAAGCAGACTCATTGAAGTTTGTTGTGAATCAAAGGATATGCACCATTAGATCTTTGTTGAGCTTATAAGGGTATAAAGTAATGCTCTCACCTTACTACGATGATTTTATCTCCTTAGACCCTAGAATCATATTCATCCCATGTCTAGGTATAAAAATTTTATGTCTCAATTCTGCTATTTATACCAACATTTCTCGGTCGAGGCAATGAATCACATTAGGTTTTGATTTCACACATGTCCACTGCATGAATTAAATAAACTATGAGATCAATTGAGAACAACTATAAATCATTTCATATGCAATAATCTACATTAGGAACAATACGCTTCATTCATATCATAAGACCAAAATAAAGATTTTTAACCACCCATGGAAATGATTTTCTACAAAATAGATTCTATTATGAACATTATAAAAAGGGTACAAGAGATTAGGTGGAGAAAATATCACCTGGAATAGCGTTTAGGGGATTTACAAGATTTTGGCCGAATAAGCACACGAGAGGGACAAAGTTACCTTCATTATAAACGAGCTCCCGTTCTTGTGTCCCTATCAAAGTGACTCTCGATCGGGAAGGAGATGTCTTCGGGGGAGGCGATGTCAGCAAGGTAAGAGCTCGGTTCCCTCCCTCTCTCTCTCTCTCTCTCTCTCTCTCTCTCTCTCTCTCTCTCTCTCTGAGGATCGGGAGGCAACGATGGGAGCTAGGGCAAGGACGTCAGTTCTCTGTTAAGGAGGAGGAAGATCAGATGGATCGTGGGAGAGAGCAGGTTGAGATGGCAAGGTAGCGAATGGGGAACACGATGGCTTCGTTCGGTCGGCTTTTAAAGGTGTCGAAGAGCAGCAATCGAGGCCGGTTCTACGCTCAAATCGCAGGATGCAACTCAAACGGCGCCGAATCGACGGGATTTATTGCGAGATTTGCGGGAGCTTTCGGCGGGATACGAGGCATTCCCGATCTCTCTCTCTCTCTTTTGGTTTCTTATATAAAGGTCAACAAAAGTAAATACATCAACCTCTTGTATGTGAAGATGTACGACATGCAACAGACGTAAGCATCCACAAGCCCCTACAAAAGACCGTTATATACACAAAATGTTATCTACGAATAAAATGTCAAATGAATACAATGTATGCAAAAACCTACGGACCACTGAAGGAGACCCGTCGTGCACCCAGTATATCACCTAAAAGCAAATATATAGATCCTTTTGCAACCAAAGGTGAAAGACATGTAGCAAATGCAAGCTCCTACAATCCTTTTGCAACCAAAGGTGAAGACATGTAGCAAATGCAAGCTCCTACGAGCTGTTGTAGGAGATATGTTATACGTCAAATATATCTCCTACAAGCAAAATGTAAGAGAACCATAACAAATGTAAGCACCTACGTGTTAAAGCAAGAGATCCGTTAGTGCACTACAACCCACTTGCATAAAGCAACAAGCAATGCACGATAGTCTACCTGTACAAAGCATCAAATAACTCAATTCATAAGCTGCATGCCACCGGATCCGCAACATTCATGCAAGCAGACAGAAGGCGTTTGCAAATATTCCAAAATGCTCCCCCCCCCCCTTGCCCCCCACATATGCACCATTAATTGGTAATGCAACTATGAATCTCATGGAGAGTTCGATCCTGGCTCAGGATGAACGCTGCGGCATGCTTACACATGCAAGTCGGACGTGGAAGTGTGGTTCCAGTTGGCGGACGGGTAGTGCAGTAACGCGGTAAGAACCTGCCCTTGGGAGGGGAACAACAAACTGGAAACGTGCTAATACCCCGTAGGCTGAGGAGCAAAAGGAGGGAATCCGCCCGAGGAGGGCTCGGTCTGATTAAGCTAGTTGGTGAGGCAATAGCTTTACCAAGGCGATGATCAGTAGCTGGTCCGAGAAGATGATCAGCCACACTGGGACTGAGACACGGCCCCGAGAAACAAGATTATTTATACACGTGACGTCTGGGAATGCTGGCGGGTCAATAAATCTGAACTCGATCCTCCAAGCAGGTAAGTAGGAGTCAACAAGGTTCATCAAATAATCATAAAATGCCTCTAAATGCCCGCATGAGACCCGGCGAGCGTGTTATAAGTACACACGTAATGTTTAGGGATGCTACGCGGATCAATAAGTAAATTCAAGTTCGAACCTAATCCTTCTATGGGAATCAATGGGAGTCAACAGGGTTCGAACCATATAACAAGTGGCGACAGGTATATTTGTCTTAATATATCCATATTAGGCCTTCAAGACCTATAACAATGAGAATTCACTAATAAAGGCATAAAGCCTATGAAACTCGATCCCCTATCGACAAGGATTAAAACAAAAATAGAAATGATCCCATACACCCCGATGATGACCGTGTTAAATGCAAATCTCAACCGAAGGGGTTGACTCCAAATATTTCAAATTCTATCCAAATACCCATGAAGATCCAAAATTCCAAGAAATCCCAAATCCCATAATATTTAAAATTAAAATTCAACACTATCAATTATTAAAGCAAAATCCATCCACCCTCCGCAACAGTTTGTCGGGGTGGACAAATTAAAATTTACTTCAGCTCCCATAGAGCTAATGCCTAGTAGAAAATATCACTAGAATTCATTCTCAAACAATCTCCTGCCAGTAAGAATGTGGTACGTGTCCTCTGACAATGGTTTCGCAGCTAAATGGCACCGTAGGATAAACGGTTATGACCCAGGGCCCTCTAAACCGAGTGGTTTTCTCGCCAAACGGCATCACGAAATAACGGTTATGGCCAGAGCCAATACGTTCCTTAGTGGCATCAAATCCTTGAGATATTAATCAATAGGAAGTGATCGATAGGGCATAAATCCCTCTGTAAGCTAAAGTGGATTCAAATTTGTCCCCTTAGATAAGCATTCACCCCAGGTCTATAAGGTCCCCTTGGACGAATCAACCCATGGCTGCTGACAATGATCCTTCTATCAGGTTGGATTGACTACCTCCTCTAACTAAGTAGACAAGGGATCACGATGGCCCAGGATGACGGAACCATGGGATCTTGATCAGGTCCATCATCCATTCCCCCACCATCTGCTTTAAGTGAAAGATGGTGAAATTTCCAATTTTAAATATAAAATCTTCAAACTTTTAACCATTTTCAAATATCCATTGCCCATGCTGCTACTATATGTCGGATACCATGTATTTACGGATACAACGTATCTGATTGATGACTAGCCTTAATCGAAAGTTCTCTCTCGTTATCGAGAGGGGTAATTAACTATAGGGGCTTGCGCCTATAGGAAACCAGAACTCAGATCATAAAATCCTCGCAAAACGAGGGCGAAATCTCTGGGTAGTGTCTTATCTACAAACTCATCTGCCTTCCCAAAATTTACCCCATAACTTAATTCTGTTTAAACCCCCCCCCTAAAGATAAAGCAATAGCGGGCGGAGGCCGGGGCCAATAGACTAGCTTCTTTACCCACATTCGTCCTTGATGAGAGAACTATTGCCTATTTAACACTACACCTGGGCGCCGGTGCAATGGCCCTTGCACACTTATCGTTGTATTCAGGCCATACAACACGTCGCTTCTAGGAGACGCCCTTGCATTAATACGATTTTTTAAAGAATTTATGTCATAATTATTCGACAAGTTTTACACTGGCTGTCGACTACCTAACGCAACCCTCCACTTTTCTTATCCAGGACTTGGGTCCTGGCAACGGCAGTATTGCACAGTTAAATAAAATTAAAAAGCCACCACACAATATTGGAGGCAAAAAGGTGGGTTGGTGGAAAGTTGAGAGGGAAAGCATAATTAGATATTTCCATGCTTGAACTAACATGAAAAATATACATCAACATAAAATTAACTGAGATTAATTTGATGGCAAATACAATTAGTTATTTTAAGAATATTTTTCGTTAAATTATTCTATATAATATTGTCTTAGTCTCATATTTGACCCATTATTACTCATGAAGATAATTATATACTAGCTAATATTCCCTCTACTTGGGAGATTGAACAAGCTATCTTTAGCATGAAATACGAGAGGGAATATTGTCCGTCCTGATGGATTCTTGTTGGAGTTTTCTACTTCCTATTGGAATATCAACGAATGGATCTTTTTCATGTCATTATTGAATCTTATTGTGGTACTTCCATCCCTAAATATTTTCTCTTCACCCTCTTCAGTTTTCCTAAGAAGAACAATCCTATACTCTAAAATTAGAATCAGCCTATTAGCCTTTGTAATGTGTCTAACAAGGTTTTCGGTAAAACTCTTGCTAACAGACTAAGCATGATTACATCCAAAATCATTTCTACAAATCAAAATAATTTTAAGAAAGGCAAACACATTATTAATAACACTCATATAACTAATGAGTTGATCCATGCTACTAGTTAAAAGCATGCTTCAAAAGTCAAGCATTGCAACGCGACAAGGTTGCACCTCGTTTCCATCTCAAGCTAGGGTTGGATATAAAATGCCACATGTTGTCGCATGCTAGAAGGGAGTATGAGAAGTGCTCGTGTTTGAATGAATCATCTCCATCTCTGCCTCCTGTAGTAACACTCATCAAGTGCTACCATTGCAGCATGCTTGCTCATCACCATCAACAAAAGCGCTCCCAATCACATCATCAAGCTTAATCCTCTACAAATTCTATTAAGAACACATTGACCTTCTATAGAAAGGCGAAGATGTGTGTGATGCAATAGTATACGAGGTTGTGATGGCAGGGCTAGGCATCGAAACAAAAGGTGACAGCAGCATTGGAAGTGTTTGTATGTGGGGGTGTAAAGCAATCGCTTCAACGTGTTGAACACCTTTTTTTACTTTTTTCTCTCTAATTTATTTATATTTTGTTCAGTTTTGAAGTAGAGAAGACTTGATATTGGAGGAAGAATGCGGCAATGCAAATTATTTTTCTATAGAGTTTTATCCTAGTGTTGTTGGACCATGTTGGAGTTACCACATGCATGGGACTTCATTTTCTGTATTATAATATTTGTTTCTTTTATATTGATGATTCTTTAAAGCCACGACAGGCAGGAAAGTCGAAAATAATGTATTCTAGTAAATGCATAATCTATTTCTCTTTCTTATCGACCTTTGAGGATATAAATAGTACAACTTTTTTTTATTCGAGGTCAATGACTTTTTTTCTGGAAGGGTAATTAAACATTCACATCATTTAAAATTATTACTTGAAGTAGTTTAAATTTGATTAAATAAATATCTACCATATGCATAATTAATGTTAAGAATGCTCTAGTTAATAAAAGTGTAGCTTTGCATTGCGCTCTACGCATTGAAGCAAAAAAAAAACCCTTGTACATAGCATTCTTATTTTAAAACATTAACAATAATCTAACACGTAATAATTTTCCTTTGTTGTCGTGATTACTGCAATTTATTTCAACATACACATGATACTATCTTTTGGCATGATGGAGCTAAAAAGTCTCTTTTATATATGCTTCAAATATTATCATGCAATATAGTATTAATTTTAGTACTCTTTTTTTTTTAAAATAAAGCTATCCCTAACTATCTATTTTTATGTGAAACCATTGGAAAGATTTATTTCGATGGATAGTATATGCAATTGAAATGTTTTAATTGGCTTATAAGTGTCATTATTATTGAAAGTGGAATCTATTTCTCATATTTTTTTTTCTTTTTCATGATGCCAACATGATGATTTGGAATTATTTTGCTAACTTTAATATTACCCTTACCTAACAATGATAATATTCAACCTTGACTCACGAAATTGGCAAACTATTACAATTATTCCTCTAAATGTCAGAGTCTGCATCTTGCTTTGCATTTCTTAGTTTATTTGAAGGGCTAAAATTTGGCTAATTATGATAATACTAAAATTGACAAGCTTAACATCCCCAACTACACTTATAAGGAAAGAACTACCATCAAAAGTTTGAACCTTCTTAACAAGTTATCCTTTAAAGGATTACATATAATTTTGCCAATCACATTCACTTCCTATTAACAATACTAAGTATCACTGCATTAAGATTTCTAATAGTATTGATCCTTTTTTTTTTCTCACATTTTGTTAAAGGATTTAGAATTGTCGAAACTACGTCTAATTTGATCCCATGAGGCAAAGGTACATAGGCAATTGGTTATAAGTTGTACATATTTATATCGTGCATGCATGCATGCCTCCTCTCTATTTTCCTATTATGAAGAATGACAAAACCCCCTAAGTTTATGGACCTATTCCTATTTGAATCAAACTATTTCTCTCTACTATAGTTGAGACTCTTATTATCTCTCCTATTTTCATCCTAAATGTCATCTCTATCCAAAAACTCCCTTAACAAACCCCCTCATCTCTCTTTAAGAAAAATAATCTCCTCTCCCACTAATTCACTTCTTTCTCTTGAATCCTACAGCATACTGCACGTTAAATAATTAAAATATCAAAAAGGTTTTTGCTTATGCTTTAAATTTTGTTCATGTAAAAGAATTTTTATTCCTCATAGGATTCTTCAACCAATTAGATTTTGATTTAATGACCTTCAAATACTAAAAGATTTGTTAGAGCATCCAATGTTGTGGGAGATGAATTTTTCTTGTTCTAGAGGAGAATAAACCATTTTTTACCAATTAGATTTCAATGTTATGGCCTTCAAATGCAAGATCAAATCTATATACATTCTATTTGACATCACTAAAACTTGTGGCAAGTATCCTTTTAAGATGTTATAAGAACATGGCCATCCAAAAAATGCATCATAATTTTTATAATGGTCATCTATGCTTGCGTGAGAAAATAATTATGATTTTAAGGCATAGAACCTTTCAAATAGCTAGGAAGCAAATAAATGGGCTGTTCATTATATTTAGAGTGTATTTAATCTTTTTTATTGGTGAAATACATAAATAAAAGTAAAACTAAACTTTTAAGATAGCTTGTATGGTTCATGTAATCATTGTTTTTCTTTGATAACTAATGAATAGTTAAATCATTATAAAAATTGATGAAACTAATCTATACTTTCATTTCATAACGTGGATCACAATCAACAATGCGATTTTAAATTTGAATAGTGGGGGAAAACATAAAATTAGGAAAATAAATATATTCAATACAATTAGGTGCCCTTTTTGCTAGAAAATGATGCCATTTGTTGGTATTTCCCAAAACAGCCTAGGTCATGTTTTAAAAGCAATTGTCTTTTTATTTCACCAATACTCATGGACATGCATAACCTCCACGATATAGATAACATGCCACGCACAGTAACAAATGACCAGAGTCAATCCTAACATGAAAGTTTGGCACAGCTGTAAAGGAAGATGCCATTTTGCGTTCAAATAAAACCAAAAATATCACTTCATAATGCTAAAACCACCTTAAAAATATTATTTATCCAGTATTGCGGATGATGGAATGTGAACAAGATTCGTGTCAGTTAGGAGATGTGCCTTAGGTCAAGCATATGCTTGAAATGGACCAAAATCCAAAACAGAACAGGAAATTATTGATTTGTAAATTGTAACATAAAAATCTGACTGACTGTAAAGGTCCCCAGACTAAGGATTCGTTTGGAACGGCTTTCTTACTGCTTAAAACAGCTTTCAAGTATAAAAAATAATTTTTTTACTAGAAAGCTGTTTTAAGTAGTAAGAAAGTCACCCCAAATGTAGCCTAAACCACACATGCTGCAAGTACCTTGGATTGCAATTGTATAGCCTCGCAGGCAACAGATTATAGTTCAAACTCAGCTACACTTAAGCTGATGCCCTAATCATAACAAAAAACGTCATAAAACCCCAGCTGCATTTCCAAGCAGGAATTCTTCGTTAGGGTCAAAGCGTTCATGCCATGAAAAGCAACACACAAGTGAATGAAATTAAAAAGAGCAGTTTAAGGTAAAAGTTTCCAAAGTAGAACAAATTAAGGAGGAAAAAAGTGATCAGAGAAGTCGTATAATAACGAAACCTTGGAAGAACTCTGGTTGAAATAAAGTCCCTTGAGTTGCTCTTTATCAAACATGAGTCCAGTAGGAGGTTTGTCCTTTCCATTAGCATACAGTAGAAATTGAGAATCTTGCATAAAAACTTCAGCTGATGCTAGCTGAATTGCAGACGAATACAATGAAAATTTTCAGATACTAGTTTGAAGCATAAAATGAAATTATATTCAGATTAAACTACACATTTCTATGCACCGAGAATGAATAGTTGAATACCCTTTATTTCATTTTTAAGAAGACAAGAAAGAACAGAAGGGATTGGAATGTTCAGATAGAGCCTATGTTGCACCGATACACCTATTTATGAAGGCGTACTGTATCCGATACACCGATACACGAATACGCCTCTGATACTCCACCGATACGTGTCGGATACGCCAAAGACGTATCCATTAAAATACTATTTAATTTCAAAAGGACACGCGTATCTGATACACGTGTCCGTTGAAAAACAAAAAGAAATCCGAAAAAAAAAAAGATGCGTCATATTTCAAAGACATTCAAAGTTCTCTCATTTCCGAGATGGATTTGAGTCTCTTGATGATATGAGAATATTAGACATTACTAATCTTTCACTTGATGAGCCTGAATTAAAAGCTATGATATTTATTGAAGATGATATAGAAGTTCAAAGACAAACCACTGAAGAAGCTAATCATATCATTCCTTCTATTGAATAGTTGAAACTTTATGTGCTAGACAGTTTATGTTTATGCTTTTGTTGTTGTACTAGACATTTAATGCTTACTTATATTTTGATATTATAAGCTACAAGGCTACAAATGATGTTGTTGTCATTTTTTTTTTGTAATTTAAAATATTATGCTTTGATTATTTTCTTAATTTTTATGTATGATTTATAAATTATGATGTCGTGTCCGCGCCGTACCCGTATCCTGTATTTTTAAGAATTGACGTGTCCCGTATCCGTATCGTGTCGTATCCTTATCGGTGCAACATAGGATAGAGCTTAAGGTATTGCATAAACATACTGTGAACTTGCTTAAGTTAAATTGTATTTTATCAAACAAATTCTCAGATTATAATATGCAATGGGATATGTTACAGGCTAATTCTTTTTTTTTTTTTAATTACGATGTTTAATACTTGTGTCAACACTACCGCTACTAAAATTAGCACTCCAAAAGCAAGACCAACACTTCTACTAACAATGCTAGAACAACCACTTTGGTTGTTGACATAGATAAATGGTGTCGTTTATCTTCAACTAAAAAAAATAAAGGATAATTCAATCTGAATGTTTCGCCAACCATATTGAATAAAATACTTACTTCCTCGGCAAACACATCAAAAGGCCTTTGCCCATCCAATACCATTGTCCCAGTAAGGAAGATTGCTTTTGTGATTTTTTTTGGGCAACATTCAAGAGCATATGACACACTTGCACCACCACAGCTATGACCTACCAAAATAACCTGTGACACCGTATTGGTAATGTTATAGAGAAATGTAACACCAGCATGTATAAAATATATGTATAAAAAAGACAATCATCACAAAAATTATTTCACCTTTTCATCCTCAGGAAGGTTATGCAAGTAATCAATAAGAGGTTTTGAATAATCTGCCAAAGTCTTTATACTATTTATATCTGTGTTGTCTATACCAGATGCAGCCAGATCCAGAGTAACCGAATGAAGTCCAGCTTCCTCCAGAAAGGGTACAATCTTATACCAACACCAGGCTCCAAACCCTTCCCCGTGGACCAGAATAATCTTCTTTGTTTCAAGATTTCCAAGAATAAAGGGTACCTATTGCACAAGAAATGTTTATGACTTCTACAACAAAGTACACAGTAATAGCATAGAATATGAGGATGAAAAAATTATCAATATCTAGATTTTTTTTATTAATAAAAAGTGCTAACTGCAAATATAAGGCTAAAGAAAATAATAGCAGTGAATAGATGTAAAACAAAATGGATTTCCTTCAGGTAAAACTCCAAAATTACTGATTTAGGTATCACTATTATATTGAAAAGGCACGAGACACTTCATCAAAGATGGTCAACTTTAGCTTGTAAGGAATTGGGGCGTACATGGACCCCTCACAAGATCCCATTCCCCGAACTTCTTGCAATATGTATGCCTCCTTTACCCGGGAATTATTTAGTACCTTCAACTAAGTTAATTGTTTACTATAAAGACTGAGCCCACCACTTACATAAATCTCTCCAAAGAGCTCATAATTGGTAGGAGGCTCATGCAAACATATTTTTATGGAGCGATTATTCAGTAACTTCACTTAGAGCAATTATGTTTTCTGTATGCTGATGGAAAACAAGCATTTGTTCCATTCTTCAAAATTGTGCAATATGAGGCTCACATTGAGGACCGCCTAAGCTCAATTCCAGTAAAAAACGCCTCAACGCTTATGCCACGAGCTTTTTTCATGAGACTTACACCTCAGCTTGACTAAGGCCTGCCATGAGGGGGTGCCTAGCCTCCCTAGTGTGAGGCGTATGCCTCACCCTATTTATATTTTTTTTTATTAAAATTTATCTAAAACCTAAACTAAAGCCCTGAACAAATCACTCTTTTATGCACCCCAGAATCACAACAACTTCCTCTCGACTGGCTCGACCTCCAACCTGCCGCCTTCGCCACAACCACCACTGTTGTAGCCGCCACTGGAGATCACTTGAAAGTCGCACACCACCACCACCTCTAAAAATTTTAGACTCATCTTTATGTTGAGGACAAAAATTTATGAAAAAGGAAGATCACTTGAGGATGGCTTTAATAAATGAAGAAGAAGCAGATTATGAGGCATTCAACTCCACATAATGAGGCAAGGAAGAAACCAATTTGTTACGGCCATAACTTAAATTAAGTGATGACAGAGCAGGTAATTTTTTAGTTGTTGATAACTATTTCAGCTTTCTTTAGAAATTAAATATGGATGAATAGGAAACTGAGAAAGGAAGAATTTGAAGTTAAATTTCATGTTATATAATACTTTTATACAATTCATATATTTTTTGTTATTTTGCACTTGTAATATTTAAATTTCAATTTTTGCATAATTTATCACTTGTCATTTTACGTCTAATACAATTTTTTGTTGTTGTTTTATATGTAAGTTAATTTGTCACTTCATAGTACAATAGAAAGTTAATATGTCATCATATAACATATTATTTAGGTATTATATAAAAAATCACTTTTAGCCTTTATTTTCACTTTACAAAATTTTTGGATTTTGAAGTTTATACCACAAAACGCCTTGAGGCTTACGCCTTGCCCCACAAACGAAAAACGCCTCAATACGCAATTGCACACTTTTTAAACCTTGATTTGTCAATAATTAACTTAGAAAAGTTGCAAACTTACTATAATGGCAGATGATGTAGTTTGGTTTGGCTAGTTTCCTTTGGTAGTGGAAATTTCGAGTTGCTTCAAGCAGTGGACTTAGCCTTGTGTGCATGAAAAGGTAGTGATTGCGTGGTGGTTCTTGTAGCTGGTGTATCACAAGTTATTTATGGTGCCTAATTGGAATAGTTGCTAAGTAGTTTAAAATTTTAGCTATTTTACCATATGGAGGGTAGTGGTTGCATTGACATGATAAGGAGTTTAGGTTTCAAATCAAAAACTGAATTTGATATTATTTTATTGTGAATAAATTTAAATTTGCATTGAGTTGACCCTGTATAAACCGTATACTAGCATAGGTTATTAGGAATCTATAAATTACTGTTCTTACATGAAATTAAAAACTTTGGCATAAATCATTTTTTTCTTTACAGTTTCAATCATATTTGTTCAAGTTGAATGTTTGATTCTTTCGAATGAAGTTTATATGCAACTACCTAATTTCAAGGTTACTTCAATATTTTTTTTATTTATTTCATTTTATCTAAATAATTTAATGTGTTGACTTGCTAGAACTATTAATCTTAATAAAAAATTGAAATATATGAAATCCAATTTGTGAAAATTACTTAAAAGCGTATGCTGATTTTGTGTTTTTAATTGGTCGATAAATTTCTCAAATTATTTCAATCATTTCATTATCATTTGAATTCTATATCTAATATTACCATTTTACATTTAAACAAAGCGTGTGATTAAATTATTTGATGGCCTGTGAAATGTGAATCGCCAATTTTCCATGCATACATTTATACTAGATATCATATTAGTTTCATTATAGAACTCTCACATTGACTCGTACTACATTACAAGATATAATAGTTTCAAAATTTCTTAAAGTTTATCATGAAAGCTTTTCTTGTACATACTGTTAAATGATAAATTGCATATATGAGTTCTATTAAACAAGTGGTTCAACGGTTCTATTTACAAATTACTCTATGTGAGTTCTAATTTTTTTCTTCTTGCCTGAAACAAGCATAGTGCTTTTAACAGGATTTTCACTATGTATTAGAACTAGCATCATTATGGATTGCAAATTATGAATATCTTTCTAATGAAACAATCTAAAGGCTAGGAAGCACGGACACTTCCAAGACAAGGATGTCAAGGATGTCTTTGACACACCCTGAAATGCCTCAAAATTATGCTGGAAGCAGTTTAAGACAAAATAAAGTTCCGGCAAAACCAGACGTGACCCAACATGGCTTGACATGCATTTAGGGACAACCCATCCATGAGATAATGAACACAAAATATGAGACAAAAAAAAACTGACATATTAATGTTACTTTTGGAGTATTGTGAACAATTAATAATTATTTATTTTATCATTAATGGTATTTTTTTTTCTATTTTTAATTGTTAAACTTCTTTTGTGAAGTATATGTATATGATATTATACTGCACTAGGTGATGTCTTCTAGTAGAAAATACTATAAATTACATATTTAATGTTAATAATTTAAAAAATATAATATTGACTCCTTGATATGTCTTGTCCTACTTTTTGTTGTTATGTCATGTCATATTGGGGGTGTTGTTTCATGTCTGTCACCCTGTCTATTCCCATGCTTCATAGTCTGATTGCGTTATTCCATGCTTAAGACATGGCCATTATCACCACAATCAATGTGATAGGAAGTACTTGTAGATCTCAAGTATTCCTATCATTCTTCGAAAAGCAGCGAGAATTCTCCACAAAAATCAACACAAAATCACAAAAACAGTAGATAATTTGTATTTTTTTTATGAAAGGGAAACGGAGAATAGCAAGATACAATTGATCCTCTATTCGAGAGGAGGATCGATCTCTCCCAAATCTCTAGACGCCGCTAGAGCCCAAAGAAACCTAAATTTAAGAGATCTCAAATTTCCGCCAAATTCAAGATGCCCTAACCCTAGTAAAACAAACTATTTAATGCATATAAATCAAAAGGAAATCCCTAAACAGTCCCTACATTCAAATTTTCCTCCCAAACCCCTCAAAAATCCTTCCTAAAATGCTCGTTTGGTGCTTGCGGTACAGTCGGCTACCGAAAGAGGCGGACATTTAGCCTCGGTTCCGCCTGGTCCAGTCCCGCGTAGACCGGCTGGACTGGTCCAATGGACCGGTCTAACACAATGCCACTTTGTTGGCCTACTCAACTATTTTCGATTGGCTTTAACAATCCACCTTATTGATGTGAACCTAAATTCTATAGCCAAGGAGGAGAACTCTATATTAGAATTTCACATGATGAAATTGATCTACAGAAAAATCTGACTTATACTAAAGAACCAGAAGGATTACTTGATTTTGATACTAAACAGCTCAAAAATCGGCAGATTTCATGTGTTAAAGTGAAATGGAAATACAGGCCAGAAAAAGAAACAACCTGGGAAAGAGAGGAAGACATTAAATCAAGATTCTCTCATTTGTTTGATGATCACTAAGGAACTGAATTTCGAGGACGAAATTTAAATGAGGGGTGGATTATAAATACCCAAAATATTCAAGTAAAAGAAAATATAAATTTTCTTTAAATGTTAATTGAATCATATGTTACTTATGAAGTCAATTATATATTAATCACTAGTATAATAAATAACTGTTATATATGTCACGATTTTTTTAGTATTTTCATTAGAACCGCTACATTCCACTAACCAAGCCATGCATTGGCTGGATTAGATCCTACCGCTGAGAATTTTGGGAAGCCTGTAGTGGGAAAAGCACTAGAGATTATAATATAAAATAATCTAAATAAAAGGCATTAATCCTATAGTGGGCTGAAATTTTCCCAGTTATGCAGTATTGATATTCTTCTCCCATTTTCCATCAGCTGACTTAGGGTGAAAAGGAGTTGTAGGCCGTGGAATGTTATGAGAAGAATTCCATAAATATTTTTCAGCAAATTAAGGTAAGGTAAATTAGGCAAATGTTTTAGTTAGTGGATGAAAATTTTATTTGAATGAAACCAAGTGCAGTTTGTTATTTATCTAAGTAAGGCAATTGCTTTTAGTTGATGCAAATTCAAGAAATAATATGGGAAGTATTGTTGTTGCTGATAGTAGTTAAAAACAGGTTAAGGCTAAAGTGGTAGCAAAAAACATTAAAGAAGAGGACATAGAAGAAAAGGAAAAGGATTTAATGGAATGATAAAGAGTGCAATTGGGCTTGTATACAAGAGAAAAGAATGACAAAATCTAGGAGAACAAATTCCTAGCAAAGTGAGATACACAAACAAGGTTATAAGAATTAGTAAATATTTTATTATTGTACTTCATCTTTATTATGCTTATGACCACATCTATTTCAGTTTATTTTAGTTATTTTGTATAAATAATGATGAATATGTATGAAATTGTTTATGCAGAGAGTAATCTTTATCAATGTT